CCTTGAAATGCTCTTCACCCCTGAATTCCAGGACCCGCAGCCACATCCACTTGTATCTCTTCACCCCTTCTCGATGTCTCTTGAAGGACTCATAACAATTCATGCTCCTTCCTTGAAATGCTCTTCACCCCTGAATTCCAGGACCACTCTTCTCCCAGTCTTTCTACCCAGTCTCCGGCTGCTCTCCAGTTTTCTTCTGACGGCCCCATTGATCAAAGATAAGAAGGTTTAAGAAATTCGAGACAGGGAAGTGACACATGAATCTCAAGGGAAAGACAGTCTCATGGTCAAGGCTACCTTCTATATTGAAGAAAAGAACGGCCAAAGAACATGGGCATTGCTTTTTCAGGTCTTAAAGTTTTCAAGAAGTAGAGACATGAAGGCTGATTTCTAAACTGCTATCTTGGATTTAGATAGAGATAAATTGTGGGTTAGAAGCTCCTCAACTGCCTTAAACACTCCTGCAGGGTAATCCCATCTGCTCCCCTGGTTGGAGCATTATCTAAATATATGGGAGAAAGCCACACTGGCCTTATTCGTGACTGTTTTCCTAGCAATTCCTGGCACCTTAGATCAGGCTCTGCAAATATCAGGCAACTGACCTTCATGATTTCACATTTAGAAATTATTTATTGAGCACCTACTCTGTGCCTGGTCTATAGGATTCTAAAGCAGATGTCATCTATATAAGCACTACATAAGCACATACGTCTACAGAGCACTTTTGTGCAGGTAAATGACCCTGTTAGCTGAGGGGTTATTCATTGGATGTTACATTCCACACTCCCACAACTATTTTTGTCCAACATTCCTGGAAAGAGTCCATTTAAAAATGGATAATCCATTAGAACCATGTCCAATAAGCCAGACTCCAGTTAGAATTATGCTGTGTATTTGAAGGGCTTAGACTAATACTGATGGCTCCCTATTGGCAGAGTTCTCTTGAGGTTCTTGTCACTATTTTGACCTCTTGGAACAAGATGCTCCAATTTATTCTCCATCGATCAAGAGGGGTTGAATGAGTGGCTATTGCCGCTACACTGAGTTGTGACATGTGCTTAACCAAATATCAGGCATGGTAAAGAGGAATTCACTCTCTGCCATGTACCAGCGCATCCTTCATGAATTCATCCCTTATTTCTTTTTTTCCAGGTTGTTTTCTCCATGCCCACAGGTGGTGGCACTGTCCAGAGCCCCAGGGGGTAAGAAATCAAAAAGGAGAAACTGAGGGCTGCCTTGTGAGATCACAAGCAATTCACCAGCAAACTCATGGAGACTTCCAGAACCCCACTAGGACGCTGGTGTTTCTTTTACCAAAGGAGAAAGACTCACTGTTCTTATTCGCAAGAATCTTCTTATAGAAACCATTTGATTCCAACCCCTAGCAGTGGCAGGGCTTATTATTATTATTATTATTAATTATTATTATTATTATTATTAATTTATTATTATTATTATTATTTTCAATAGGAAAGTTTGATTTCAAGCCAGAGATTTGTTTTATCGTTCACCTTATTGTTTTCCACTCGCATTCCTATTTGTAAGAATGCAAAATTTGCTAGTATAATCCTAAGCAAGTACTGATTTATGATTCCTTCGTGGGGTTCTATTAATAGCCTGGGGCTCCAAATAAATGCTGACTGCATGCAAATTCTGCCTAACCCACAAGAGCTGCAATCACAACGATGGTATGTGCTGCAGATGAGAAGCCACTGGAGACAACTATGCTTGTCCTTCCTGCTCCTCTCCCCCCTATCCATGCACATGTCTGTGATAGATGTCATTCCATCTCCAAAGCAAGAAAACCAGCCAGAAGGATGCACCCCAAAATGCCTGGCGTGCATTTAAGAACAATATGATTTTACATACTTGTTCCTCTCCAACACTCTCTTGGCTGCTTCAGAATTAATTGGGATTGAAAATCAGACTTTGCGAGACCACTGCGATGTCCCAAGGGATTCCATTGTGTATGTCTCCTGCTGAAATGATGCGGCTGGCTGTGTCCCTTGGCCACATATACCACCCTCTGTCCAAACTACTCAAGCACATTACCTGCAGCATGCTCAGGATGGTCTTCACTTTCTGCCGTGCATTATTATAAGACTCCCTGGAAGAATCTTAAGTCCTTTAGTAGCTTCTCTGTTCCCTGAAACCAATAGTCTTATCATCAGTGCATCTCCCCTCCCCCCCCCAAAACAACTAGGCACATGGTCAGCATCCAAGAAACATGACTAATGAACAAATTAGCTCTTCCCCTGAGATTTATAGTTGACTGTGCATGGCTATAATGCAGCCTTATTATGTGGAAAGAACTGGAATAAAGTGGCATAGACTCCAGGCTCTGGGTGGGATACCTGCTCATCCATTATGAATTCCGTCCGCTGCGGTGGGTGTACTTAACCTTCTGTGAACCTCACCTGCCTTTCCTGAGGAATGGAAATGATTAGAATGCTACCTGCTGAATGGACCACTGGCTGCACAGAGGGAGGTGACCCATGTGACATCCAGGCCAGATGTGGGTCCAGCTCTCTATTGAGGCAGTAACTGGGATGATTAAAAAAGAAAAAATGTTGACTGCCCCTCACATTTGCACAGCAGCTCCAGGATCTTAAAGACCCCTGTTTGTTTTTAGTGAGGGACACCTTGCGTAGCCCTCCCCTCATATCTGTGGAGTCGGTCTTTCTCCGGTTACTAGGACAATACAAGATAAAGCAATTGCACAGCTATGAAAAAGGCAATAAACCAAAATGACGTGGGGTGGAACTGGCCATGGCGGGCAATTCAACAATAAGGGTTCTTTGTTATGAGTACACCTTTCAAGACACACAGAAACCTTCCGTGCAGAGAGAAACCCTCCATATAATTATGCTGTCCTCAAAGATGCTGAAAGAAAATGCTCTGAATGACTGAGACGTGCCCTTTCTAGTTAGCTGCCTTTATTTCTGCTGTCCTTGGTGCAGAGAGCATTTCTTTTTGAGCAAATATCCCCCTTTTATTTTACCACGTAATGATTCAGAATGCTGTAGTCCCCTTCCGTGTAGTAACAAAAGGCCCTTCTTGGAAGAAAGAAATGTTCCTCAAAACACTCAGATATATTGGATTTATAAAACAATGAAAAACTTTCTCAGAAATGAATGTAATGCCTCAGGGCAAGGATTTTATCTTTTGGCAAAAAAAAGGAAGAACACAGTCATCTATAAATATTATATCAAGGTCTCATGCAGATCTCAAAGATTGAAAAATACTCTCCAAATATTCCAGAGGGAACTAGTTGTAGAACAACGCTGGAAGTTGTACTGTTACATGAGTCACAGCAGGCATACGTATCATAATAATTAAATAAAAATTAATCAGTAAGTGTGATGATAACACAAGCTTGCTTCCTGGCCAACCAGCGAAGTCTTATAGTTGCATAAGAAACCTGACACATTAAAATAGGATGCTTATTAAAGAGATAAAATATTCCACTGATTTACACTACAAAATATATTCTACTGATTAATCATGCTAAGGTGTAAAAAATGTAAATTGATTTACATGCAGTATTTTAGGAAAGAAAAAAATGACAGGAGGTGGGCTTGTATAGGTATACGTAACAGCCCTGAGCACAATGCATTCTACTTATAAATCTTGTTAGGGAGAATGTTCTGGTTTTGTTTTTGCTAGCTAATATTTATCATTGGTAGTCACTCTTGTTATTTTATAGAATCGCAGACTGATAGAGAGGAAAGAAACTCAGAATTTGCCTAATCTGGATTCTTCATACCCAGACAATAGGAAAGAGACATAGAGTTTTAAGCCATCTCCCAAATTCACAGAGACAGTGAAAGAAAGATCTAGAAGCTGCAGCAAGGGTCCAGGGTGCTCTTTCTACGATTTAAAACAAAACAAAGCCTTTTCTTATAATTCCCACAGTAGGTGACCACATTCAACCTGCTGCTTAAAACAAACCGAGAAACAGAACTCTGTGGCAATGTTTACGAATTTCCAAAACAACTCGATTTCAAAGCTGGAAACTATCGATATAATGCACAAAACGAAAAGAAAGGACGAACGAGAGGAAGGGGGAAAAAGGAAAAGGAAACAAATATATACAAGTCTTGAGCAGTCAGGTTGGTGGGTGTCATTTGGACAACAAATGTCTCTTACCTCTTGGATTCTGCCCAGATGGACCTAGCAATGGAAAAGCAAAGACTGACACTCAGCGAGAAGTTCAGGCCGCTGATAGTCCAGTGCTTTGGGAAGCCCACATACTACGGCCTCCCCTGAACTCTATGGAATAGACCCAAGCTTGCTTAGCTAGGCAAAAGAAAATAAAAGCATGCTGATGGTCATCTCATTCAGACCTGGAAGACATATATTTTTAAACAAAGCCTCCAGAAGAAGGTTTCTCAGTGTCTCTGAAAAATGACACATTTCTCAGAAACATGGTTATTTGCTTAGAAAGAGGTAGAAAGGACAAACAGGGAAATTTTCACAGTCTGCAGATGCAGCAAGAACAATGTGGGTTCCAGAAGGCAGAACCTCGGTCCACGGATCTGGCCATGACAGGCGTATCTGACGGGGACTCTGTGGCTGTTGCCTTGGGAGGCTCACCGAGCCTGTGGCCAGCAGCAGGTATTCTGGACCCGAAACCCAGCACTCGTGTGACTTTGCTAATGACATGGCATCATTTGCATCTCATTGCTAATAGTATAAGCCATGACGAGGACAAATGCTTGGGCTCCTTCTCTCCTCTAATCTCCTGAAGCACGAGCCCACAGATCACACTTCCCTGCTGTGCATCCACTGGACACCGCGAACACGCACACTGGGCCCAAGATACTTTCTGTCCACCTTTCAGAATTAACGTTTGGTAAACACACCCACACACATGTTTGCCATCTATCAAGGCATGGGCAGCAATTCACACGAATTCACAGGAAATAAAACAGGAGGAGGAAGACAGGGAGCCGCTGCCCACGTGCACAGGGACACGTGCACAGGGAAGACCCACGTACCAATGCTCCAGTCCATTTCCTCCACCGCATCCCCGTAGGTGCCGTGTTGGCTTTTGCTGGTGAACTCCTTGGAGGCAAAGAGCGCCGTGTGCACGTGAAGGTAAGACAGGAAAAGCAGGAACGGCCTCTCAGTGTTCCTGCAAGATGGAAAACAAAAGGCCAAGGGCGACATAAGGACGACCTATTATTATAAGATACCATTTGAAAATTAACAAAATACCACAATTTAAGGGCCTAATAGAGCACCTTTTTATTCAGTGAAATGCACACCTCCGTGGCATCTGTATGAAGCGGCTTATTGTGACCCCGTATGATCAGCAAACTGAAATCATGCCATCGAGACACTCTCCAGCAATGTAACTCAGGAAGAAACGTAACAGAAAAGTGCGTGGATTGTTTTTTTTTTTTTTTAAGGGGGATTTTATTCTTCCCTCTCTCTATGGTGATTAATATAAATTCAAGCACCTTGAAAATAGTATTCTGTTTGGAGGGGAGAGATACAAGGGGTCTTCAAAAAGTTCATGAAAGGATTTAGTTTTAATTCAATTTTTCCACGAACTTTTGAAGTACTCTCATATACACACACACACACATGCATACACATATTCACACATACACACATATACATATATACACCCACAAATACACATGCACACACACACAGACACACACATATATAGTCACACAAAGACCTATATACACACAAACATATACACCCACACACACACACACATGCACACACATGCACATATACAATCACACACACACATATACACCCCCCACGCACATGCATGCACGTGCATACATGCACACATACACCCACACATATAATACACACATATCAACCCACCCATACACACACACACACACACACACACACACACACACGTGCATTACTACCTAGAATAGACAGCATCTCCAGTCATCAATGGCAATAGCCCCCCCGCCCTTATCTGCGGCTTTACTTTGTGCAGTTTCAGTTATCCTTGGTGTCAACTGTGGTCTGAAAATATCAAGTGAAAGATTCCAGAAACAATCTAAGTTTTAAATTGCACACTGTTTTGAGCAGTGTGATGAAACCTTGAGCCTCCCACCCCATTCTTCCAGGACATGAATCAACCCTCTGTCCAGCCTATCCCCCGAGCAGACGCTCCCCGCTGCCCGTAAGTCACTTAGTAGCCGTCTTGGTTATCGGATCAATTATTAAGGTACGGTAGGGCTTGTGTTCGAGTCATCTTATTTTACTTAATAATGGCCCCAAAGCACACGAGTAGTGATGCTGGCATAGTGTGATAATTGTCCTATCTTATTATTAGTCATTGTTATTACTCTGTTACTTAAAACTTTATCACAGGCATGTATGTATAGCAAAAAAACAGTCTACACAGGGTTCAGTACTATCCGCGGTTTCAGGCATCCGCCGTGATCTTGGCACGAATCTCCCGCAGGTAAGGGTGGATTACTATACTTCCCAACACCTTTTTAATGCCAGTTCTACTCTGTGTTCTGTCTTACTGCTTCAATCTACAATAGAACAAGTCTCCCGGAATGAACAACTCAATTGTCAACACTGAAATTTTACAAGTTAAATAAAACATTTCTCAAACTGGCCCAAACCAACAGCGTAATCTAGAGAGACAAACAGCATTGCAAGATTTGTTAGCTCAGCGTGTACCTAAACCTACTCTGATTAAATCAATCAGAACACACAGGTGGTAGTGAGTCGTAAGTCACTGTCAACATATGGCCCTTAGCCACAAGGGCCGTGAGCAAGGTTCCCATGTGAAGCTCTGAGGTTTCATGACTGGGTCTGCTGCAAGGGATCAGCAAGTCCCATTGCTGCTTCTTTCCACTGAGTTGGCCTGGGAGGAATGTCCTCACTACTGCATTTCAGTTTCACATCTTTACCTCTGTCTGGGAGGTGATCAGCAATTCCTTTCCTGCTGAAATACTGAGGTAGTGGTCTTTTGGAAGGCTGTCAGGGCACAGGAGGCATGCCCATGTCCCAGGGTGGGTGGACGCAGCTCTTGGAGATGCAGGAATCTTCACACACAGGGGCACAAGCCTTATCTCTTAGCGAGAGCTGCTGCCGAACCGTGCCTTGATCTCAGCCCTGTCCTAGACCTTTCTTTAAGCACGTCTGTTAGTGCGGGTGGATTCCTTAGACATCTAGGCTTCGGGTTCATCATCAAAACATGAAGAGTTTTGGTGATGCGTCATCCTAATGCCAATACTCTCTCACACACCCACAACTCCAGCCCAATGTGTTGACCAAACACAGCTTGCACATTCTCAGCTGCATGACCTGAACACGATCATCTTTCTGCCCAACACGTAACCCCTCCTCTCCCTGGCAAACGGTCACCATTCAGAAGCCATCTCAAATGCCACCTCCTGCAAGAGGCTGTTCCCTGCTTCCCAGGCAGCCACATGAGGGCTGAGAACCCTGGGACACGAGTCTTCAATTGAACACCTAGGCCCTTGCACAATGCCTGCCCCGAGGAGCTCAGCAACACTGCCGAATGAATGAGTGAATGAATGAGATTTCTAATAAAGCACACACTCCAGTGCACAAGAACTGCTTAGATTCTCTCTTCTCCTGCAGGACTATGAGCTGGGGCACGTCATTTCCATCTGTGTGTTTCTGCCACCAGCACAGTGATTAGCAGGTAGCGCACGTCCAGGAAATCTCTGTCGCTGGATGAAATACTGCATTAGCTTTCTCAGTTTCAGCCCCTGCCCCCAGCAGTTGAGTGAAGTTCAAAGATCTGTGAACGTAGCATGGCTTATGTACACATTGCTCTAGGGGAGGGATTACTATACCAAACTCTTCTCCTTACTAAGTCTCTTGTCCTTTCGAAGGGATCGTGCCTTATGTTCGACGTCTTTGCCGGCCAGTAAAGGCTATAAAGAAACAATTCATTTCATTACATTAATTTTGCCTTCATATAATTTTGAATACCTTAACTCCTCACAAGGACCATAAACATTTCAAATCCTACTCTTATGACTTTAGCTTAAAAATAATCGATGTTTGTTTTTCTAAGCGCATTTGCCATCTCCTGTTGTTAATACAGTTCGGGCTCCGTTAGCCCTTATGCGTAGCTTCTTCTGGGCCAGCTCCTCAATTCCGCTGGCTGGAACACTTCCCTTCTAAACCCTTGCATTTATTAACCCCTAGTCCTTCGAAACAGAAAATAAGCACAAAACATCACACGTGGAATGAGAGCTGAGCCAGGCATCTATTCTCTGAAAGCAGGCAGATCAAATCCAGAAAGTTATTGTTGACCATTGTTTAATTATTCCAGCACTTGGTGGCAAATCATCATTTTTTTTTTAAGAAGAGTATAAAATGAACAAATGTTGTTATTATTTTACAACCAAAGAAACGAAATAAAATAAAACAAAGGTTTTTCAACCTTTGGACTTGACCCGCCACTCAACAGTAACTGGAGTAACTGGAGGCATGACATTAAAACCCACAGCATCTGTAACTCTCTGATCATTATATCTCAGATAGAGAAGCAGAGATGCTAACGTTGCCTTGGAAACACTGGAACTGTCACCCTAGCTGGAGCTCTACACGTGAACTACCAAGCCATGTCCTTGCTGCTCCTAGGGTAGATGTCCTCGAAGAACTGAATGAACTGAAACTAAGCCGTGGTATGTCCGGGACGTTTACCACACATGGAAGCCTGGTAAGTCACTGTCGTAGTCATTATGGAGGAAGTCTATTCACTCATGAACAAACTGCTTCTCCTTCTCAAGAAACACACTGTGGTCCTAAAAACTGGCTTAGATTCCTCAAAACGAACATGAAATGACACTCTTTATGCTGGTTCCTAAATAGTGAGGTACATTATGTATGAGGACAATTTCACTGCAATTCTATTCTCATCTGTTCTCTCATTTATTTTCAGATTTAAATTAGGAAAAATCAGATATGGAACCATAGAAAGTCAACTTTCCAAACACAGTATATGGCCAAAGCTGGGAATACAGTATGTGACTGACAGGATGTAGTTTTAATTTGGATTCTCCAATTTTAGATGGTAATCCTCTTGACCAAAAGTTTAAAAAGAAAAAAAAAAATGGCACAACCAGCAAATAAGGGAGCCCAAGATTAAACTCCAGTTCATGAGGAAGGTCATAAGAGCTACTGAGCCAAAGACCCACCATTCCGGAGTTCAATCAAGACTTTTGTCCTGCTCCCTCTTCAGCAAAGGGTGCTGGGATAACTGGATATCCATTTGCAGGAGATTGAAACTAGACCCATACCTCTCACCATGTACTAAAATCAACTCAAAATGGATCAAGGATTTAAATATACACCCCGAAACAATAAAACTTATTAAAGAAAACATAGGAGAAACCCTTCAGCAAATAGGGCTGGGCACAGACTTCATGAATATGACCCCAAAAGCATGGGCAACCAAAGGAAAAATAAACAAATGGGACTATATCAAACTAAAAAGCTTCTGCACAGCAAAAGAAACAATTAACAGAGCTAAAAGACAACCAACAGAGTGGGAGAAAATATTTGCAAAATACACATCCAACAAAGGACTAATATCCAGAATATATAAAGAACTCAAACAACTTTACAAGAAAAAAACAAGCAACCCAATCAAAAAATGGGCAAAAGAACTAAGTAAGCATTTCTCTAAAGAAGATATGCAAATGGCCAACAGTCATATGAAAAAATGCTCAACATCACTCAGCATCCAGGAAATGCAAATCAAAACCACACTGAGATACCATCTCACCCCAGTTAGGATGGCAAAAATCCAAAAGACACCGAAAGATAAATGCTGGCGTGGCTGCGGAGAAAAAGGAACTCTCTTACACTGTTGGTGGGAATGCACAATGGTGCAACCCCTATGGAAAATGGTTTGGAGGTTCCTCAAACAGCTGAAGATAGACCTACCATACGACCCAGCTATCCCACTCCTGGGAATATATCCAAAGGAATGGAAATCATCAAGTCGAAGGTACACCTGT